TGTCTTTAATATTGTTATGACATAATATAACATAACGCTTTTGTATCCCCGAAGGACTACTCCTTCTGCTGTTAATGTGCTGCTCAATGCCACTGTACAATGTAACACCCACTTTTAACTATGTATGTACGTTATGAGTCCCATCTAATAGGGGGTTAGCCTATTGCCATATACTGGCCACAAACCCAGGCTCCGTGCTACTACGGAGAATTTTTTAATAACCCAGTAATACTTTGCCCGACCCGGGATTCAAACCCGAGACCCCTTACCCGGCAGTCGCACTTGCGACCACTCGGCCTACGAGGCAGTGTAAATAACTCGAGTTCAATGTAATGGGGTGAGTGAGTCTATGTATATTGAGCTAAATTTCGTACTCTGGGCTTTTTACTAAGAATTATTATGCTTAGTTGGAGGTTATTTCAAACTATTAATATTAAACGAAAACAGAAACCAGTTCTTATGTAATTTTTAACAAAAACTTAGATTTTACACAAGATTAGATTGAATCTAATCGCCAAGTAGAAGTAGAATATTTTAGACCACACAAGAATGTCAAAAAAATCACACTGCGGTCATAAATAATAATTCGTAATAATAATAGTTATGACGTGACACGTGTGTCTTTTCTTTCAGGTTATTTCAGAGGTTACAAATCAAACACTATTTACATTCCAGATTGCTAATACTTTAACATATATATGAATTCATTTTCCACTGTGTCTTACGACGTCTTGAAATTGCTGTACTTCCTAATCAAGCAGGCACAACATTTAAATCTTGAAATATATAGCCTTGGCTGGAGCGAGAGGGAGGGTCAGACTCTTACTGACTAAAAACCACACCGTTTCTACTCCTACTTCGAGCCGGGCCCCGGTAACCCGCAAATTCGTCCGCAGCCTCGGCCATGATATGACACAGCATAGAAACTTCATTTAGCAGCCAAGATGGCGGCAACTCAATTAAGAAAAAATACATTTATAAATTATTATGTACAAACGTAGTACTTTTGATAAAATCCTACCACATTTGAATATGACAAGGAGATAAGTAAGAACGTAATACAAAATGTATATATTTCATCATTGCTATTAATATAATGTAACACCGTCTTAATATTTGCGGCTGTCCACACTGGGAGTACCTTATTATCTGGTTTTAGTTTTATTTAATGAATTTTACTCGTGTCAAGCCGTTAAGTAAACTGTTTTCTTAAGTATTATTTCAATATAAATGCAAACAATTCTCGTTTGAGTGTATAGTATTTTTTTTACTTGCGTCGTTGCTTCGCTTTTGGCTGCGCGATCTGTTGCGCAATGTGATTCATCTTCCGTATAGGACAACTATCGATATGAACCCAACAATCTTTCGGTTGTGTATTACGTTTCTAAATATCCTGAAATCATTGACATAAACTAGAATTGAAGGACGTTTTAATTATGTTATTGGATTGTACATCTTACTAATTCTCATCCACTACAAATCTTGCAAAGAATAATCTACTTAGCGTGATGCGTCCTAGGCATATAATCAAACAGCCTTTGATCTTGTAACGAAGCCAATGGAGAAGAACAAATAACTATTTTTCTCAGTCCTCTCATTTGATAACGAGCAAAAAGCCTGCATTAAAAGTAACACTTTTTACCAGTGTTATGTTGAGTCTCTAACATGACATAACTTCTTTTTTTATGGAAATAGAGGTAGACAATCGAGTTACATAAGCGATTATTTTACAAATGATATTGCAAATGCGTGTATCAAAGGATTTCAATATACACGTCACTTAGGACAATCCTGTTGCCATACAATTACGATGCAACTCTTCAAACTATATTAAAATAAGAATAATAAGATTCATTTATTATGTTGTATGATTTAAAATCTTATATCACGTACGATGTTATATCAAAAACAAACAAGAGGCGTGTCTCTTCGTCTATTTGTTTAACCGACTCATTAACGGAAACTTTCAAGGAAACGTCACCAAGATTCTTTAGTTTTACATTATTTTTAAGACACATAACAACTGGATATTTGTAACGGGCAGTGTGTCTAAAATATTGCGATTGAGTTTTACTTTTCTTTTATTAAAACATTTTATGGAGGTAATATTTTTTTTAATTGTATATTTCTGACGGTACTTACTCACGACGCGATTTTATGAATGGATGAATGGATTCACAAATAAACATACTTTAACGCATTACATAATTGTATTATAATTATTTTTGTTTCACATGCCTTTTGTCGTCCGTATTATCAGATTATGAGGATGTAGGAAAAAAGAAACAAAAATGGTCCCAGGACGCTGCCCTGTGGTACGCCTTTGAAAGATAGATTGAAAGTATAATAAATAACTTTAATCATCTTTTATAGACGTTAGAAATTTTGATACTTTTTATGATCCATTTTGGTGTGTCGGTATTTGCACAGGTAGACTTCTAGATACTTCGCGAATTATTAAAATGAATAATGAGAAAGTAGTAAAAATGATTTTTAAAAACAACTAAACACTACATTTGCATTTTGAAAACTGTAAATGCTTATGAATAGTGACGAGTTAAAAAATAACAATGCCTACAACATTTGGTAGAGCAATACGTTTATAAGTGACTGGTTGTTGCTCGCAACTTCGTCCGTTTCACATAGGAGCATATAATCGGGATAAAAAGTATCTTATCACGTAAGTCAGCCCTTACCCTGCCTGTTTGGTATACATGATGGATGATATATCAAACCTATTTCATCAAAATCCGTAGTATCGTAGAGTCAGCGTGAGTGACGGACAAACATTCAAAGAGACTTTCGCATTTATAATGTTAGCCTGATTGCATTGTCACAATCTCAATTAGTTGGATAATACGACCATAGAAAGAGTAAAATTGGTGGGTGATACGATAGTCTTCTACTCAGCCATCATCCAATGGCTTACACACTGCACTTGACTTCACTTCACTTGTTTCACTATATTATTTAACTCGTCAAGTACCGTCATTATAGACACAATTATAGAACAATAGGTTGCGGTCACCGGTGACCGCTTGGTGTTTGACAGTTTAATTAGCAACCGTCTTCGCACGGTTGCAATATGCATGTACTATACATACCTATAAACCTTCCTTAAGAATCACTCTATATATTAAAAAAAGCACTTCAAAACCCATTGCGTAGTTTTAAAGATCTAAGCATGCATAGGGACAGACAGACGGCGGATAGCGACTTTGTTTTATACTATGTAGTGATGCACATTTCAACCCTAACAAGCTGTACACTATATAACACTCAGTTGACTCGATACTTATTGACATCACAATACATGCGAGCCTATCCTGAAACATCAGGCATAATATAATCTTCGTGCTTATTGCTAAGGATTTCAAAGTAGGTACTACTGTTTATTTGATTATTTTGATAATAGTGTAATATTTCAACATTAACATAACACAACTTTTATCCCTAAGGGGTGGACAGAGACACTAAGTACTACTACTGAGAATTTTTAGAAACTCCAGTAATAGTATGCCCGACCTGGGAATTAAACCCTAGACCCCTTGCTCTGGCCCTCTACGGCGCCCCTGTTTGGGCGCCAAACCTGATGCGGCGTCCCGCTCGGACGCTGCTCATGGCACAGAGGGTCATGGCGATCCGAATGATCCGCGGATACCGCACGATCTCTGCGGAGTCGGCGAACCTCCTTGCCGGGTTACCGCCGTGGGATCTGGAGGCGAAGGTGCTCGCGCGCGTGCACAGCATGCGCGCG